GCCAAGAAAACTAAAATCGGAAACTAGTCCAAAGCGCTTCAAATCGGCTGTGTATTCTTTCTTTTCAGACCAAATCCTGTACCATCTTATTACAAATTTTTGTTTCCCACTTTACTATTTCTTTCTTCAACTGAAAAATATATGAAATGTTCAAAAACTCGTTTAACAACTGATTAGTATACATATATTCTTTAAGCTACCAAAATTGTATTTTTATGTAATTGTTATGAAATATGGCACTGTAAAAGACTACGTGCATTTAAATAAATAAATTGAAATTGAAATTGAACTAGTAAGGTATATATACAAAGGAGTCTGTAAAAGGGGGCGTGGCACATCCCAAAGGAGTGAAATTTTTAATCAGCTATAACTTCGGAACCATAAGTCACATAAACGTGAAACTTGGTATGCAGACATATCTATGGTACATAGGTGCTTATAGTAGGGTATACATAAATGAGTTTTTAAAAGGGGCGTGGCGCATTTCATAGGCGTGGAATTTTTAATCAGTCATAACTTCGGAACGATAAGTCACATGAACTTGAAATTTGGTATGCAGACATACCTACAACAAGAGCGTGCAATTGCTGGCTTATGCCGATGATATCAATATCATCGGTATCAAACACCACGAAGTCTGCTCTGCCTTTTCCAAGTTGGATAAGGAAGCAAAGCGAATGGGTCTGGTGGTAAACGAGGACAAGACGAAGTATCTCCTGTCATCAAACAAACAGTCAGCACATTCGCACCTTGGCACCCACGTCACTGTTGTTTTGAGAAATTTCGTTTACTTGGGAACCAGCATTAACACCGATAATAATGTCAGCATGGAAATCCCACTCACTCACTCATCATGCCCGTGCTGGTATATGGCGCAGAAGCATGGACAATGACAACATCCGATGAGGCGGCTCTTGGAGTGTTCGAGAGAAAGATTTTGCGCAAGATTTACGGGCCTTTACGCGTTGGCGATGGCGAGTACCGCAGACGATGGAACGATGAGCTGTATGAGCTTTACAACGACATGGACATAATGCAGCGAATTAAAATACAGCGGCTCTGCTGGCTTGGCCATGTCGTTCGAATGGACACCGACGCTCCGGCTCTGAAAGTATTCAACTCGGAACCCACTGGTGGTACCAGAGGAAGAGGGAGGCCCCCACTGCGATGGAAAGATTATGTAGAGAAGGACTTGGCCGCACTTGGCGTCAGTTGGCACAGAAGACAAACGACTGGCGTGCTTTGCTGAACTCGGCCAAAATCGCTTAAGCGGTTACAGCGCCAAATTAGAAGAAGAAGAAGACATACCTATGGTAGGTGCTTATAGTAAGGTTTATACATGAGTTTGTAAAAGGGGGCGTAGATCATCTCATAGGCGTGTAATTTTTAATTAGCCATAACTTCTGAAAAGTCACATAAACTTGAAATTTGGTATGCAGGCATATCTATGGTACATAGGTGCTTATAGTAAGGTATGTTAATATAAATGAGTTTGTAAAAGGGGGCGTAGATCATCTCATAGGCGTGTAATTTTTAATTAGCCATAACTTCTGAAAAGTCACATAAACTTGAAATTTGGTATGCAGGCATATCTATGGTACATAGGTGCTTATAGTAAGGTATGTTAATATAAATGAGTTTGTAAAAGGGGGCGTAGTGCATAACACAGGCGTTGAATTTTGTATCAGCCATAACTTCGGAACGACAATTCACATGGCCCCTTTAATTCTTTCTGATAGCACTTAGCTTTTGCAATGACAATAAACTAGAATGCCTTAAAGTAAAACCCGAAACTTTATCGAAAATAAAATGTATGATGATTGTATTGGAAAATGCATTTATGTTAATAGATACTTTGAAGTATTAAAAAAATGCTGTGAAATCATATTAGTTATTATTCGTAATTGTAGCGAAAATGAGCAACAGGGGCGTGCCTTCTCTTTTGCCCTTAGTACGTTTTTTGCTTGGACGAAAGAGAAAGCATGCCCCTGTTGCGCCCTTTTGCTACAATTATAACGAGTTGTCCATTCTTGTTATCTACGTTCTTTGCTAATAGTATAAAATTACTGATACTGGACTCGATAACCAAAGAAAACATGACTATTGTCGCAAATGTAAACGAAAGGACAGTATGGGGCGTTCAAGCAACAGAGTGCTTAATTTATAAGAATATCTGCTTGATAAAGTTATCGGTTTAGACGAATACCACTATTTAAATGGCACATAAGTTTAATTGTGGATTGTAGTTTAAATGCCATTTGGTGCGTTCATGTAACAGAGTGCTTAATTATATATGTTTGATAAAGTTATCGGTTTAGATGAATACCACTAATATTTGCCATTTAAGTGCAGATTAAGAGCCGGTTGTTCAATATCTGATTAGCACTAATTGGAGGTAGAAGCTCTAGTTAAATACAAGGACTGCTTTATCGATCACATGTTATATGCACGATGTCGAAAACGTCGATAATGATGTTTAACCGGCAAGTAGTGATAACCAGACATTGAACAACCGACCCTAAATGTATGATCTGAAACGAATATTAGGTGGATTAAGGTAACGGTAAAATTTTTAAACTAAAATTAGTACATTCCGTTCATTCGCTTTGCTGTTTTAGTATAGCTGCACTTTTTAGAATGCTTGTTTCGTAAGGATATTTATTCATTATGAATGAACATTAGGGTGCTTTTTTTTTTGCGACTATTTTTTTTTTCGGTCCCATCGTGAAATTTTGTTGGAAATACCCAAAAAAAAAATCCCTGAAAGTTTGAGCCCTTAATATTAATTTTAAGTACTCGGCCAAGGCGTGTGAAGATTTTCCATTTAAAATACACGGGAACTTTGATTTTTTTTTTTTTAATTTCTATATCTCAGCGGCATTTAATGGTATCACCTTGTCCAAAATGGGGATTTTCTCAGCATTAAATGCTCTACAAAAGTGCCCACTGCGGCGAAGTCGTAACTCACACCGGCGAGGTAGTACGGGCCACTAAACCTGATTTTTTCATGAAATTTACGTTTTTTCGCATTTATCTCGTAAATGACAAGAGCTATAGAAAAAATGTAAATGAGAAACTTGTAGGAAATTATATTTCCTACAA